TGTAGTAGGCAGTAGACTTGAGATTTTGAGTCCAGGTCTTCTAGAATCCAAATTTAATTCTCTTTTCACCACACCATATTGCCTCCATGTAAAGGACTGTGTTCAGTTCGGGTCACCACAATTTTGAAAGGACACTGAAAATCTAGAGGCAATCCAAAGGAGGCTTCCGGAATGGTGAACAGCCTTGTGTCAATGGCCATATGATATCGGTTGAAGGAACTGGGAATGTTTAGCCTAGAGAAGACTCAGTGGGAGACTGAATAGCTCTCTTCAAGTATTTTAAGGGTTGTATTATATAGAAGGGGAGGTCAGATTATTTTGTTTGGTTCTGGAGGAGAGGACTAGAAGAGCAATGACTAGAAATTGCAAAGAGCAATAAATGGGCTCCCCCTCATTGACAGTCTTCAGGTACAGGCTAGAGAATTCAGGGGCAGCTAGGAGGCTCAGTGGATACAGCACCAGCCCTGGAGTCAGGAGGACCTGAGTTCAAATCTGGCCTCAGACACATAACACTTACTAGCTGTGTGACCCTGGGCAAGTCACTTAACCCCAATTGCCTTGCCAAAAAAAAAAAGAGAGACAGAGAGACAGAGAGAGAGACAGACAGACAGAGAGAGAGAGAGAGAGAGAGAGAGAGAGAGAGAGAAGTCATGTTCATGTTGGACTAGATGGCCATGAATGTCCCTTACAACTCTGAAATTCTCAGATTAACTGATAAGCTTTAGAGTAAAGTATGAGACAAGTGTTTGAAAGACAAATTATAGAAAGGGTGCTAGAAAGAGAAAGATATTCATCTGGGGCAGCAGGGTGGTCCTTGGGCAAAATCACGAGCAAGGCAAATTTGATCTTCACTGTCCCAGTCTTCACATTTTGTGTATTTTTTTTTACCCTCAACAGAGTACACTTATTCTCATTCAAGTCCCCAATCTCCTTATTCTGTCCCCTACACACTCATCAGAACCTTTGCTCAAGTACTTCATTCACACTAAGAATAAGACTTTGAAGAATTGCAGCTCTCTAGAACAACTTGTATGTTGTTGGGCAAGTTGCTTAACTTTTCTAGGCCTGTTTCCTCATTTATAAAGTGAAGAGGATGGATTTTATGCTGTCAGAGGCCCCTTTCAGTTCTAAACCCATATTTTTCATCTTTAAGCCTAGAGAATGAAGCTCTAGTGGTGAATCAGTAAGTCGATGAGTAGGGTGTTCTTGGCCCAGGGTGGAGGACAATGAGAATTTTGAGTAGGGATGCATAATCTGGGGTCTATGAACTTGTGTGTGTTTGTGTTTGGGTAATTATTTGATAACTATTTCAATATAATTGGTTCCTTTCAAAATTCTCCATGTTTTATTTTTACGCATTTATTCTGAGAAGTTGTCCAAAGACTTCATCAGATTGACAAAGGAGTCTATGGCACAAACAAGGGAAAGAATTTCTGCTTTAGAGTGAGAGTCCTTTTAGGAAAGATAGAAGCATAGCATCCTGGAACTGATCTGGTGAAGACTCTCACATAACTTGAGATCTGGTCTGTTCCTTTTCTCTTCATAGGTAGATCTATTTGTTTTGCTCAGTGTGCTCAGGATAAACCCAACACACACCATACTTTCTATGAACATCAGAAAAATCCACTTTTATCAAGGTGGATGGTGGATGGCTTTAGTCTCTCGCAAAAGTCTGGGTTTGGCATTACCAACAATCAATCAACCAACCAACATTTATTAAGTACCAACTATGTGTAAGGCACCTGTTAGATTCTGAGCTTAACAAAGACAAAATGAAACAGTCCTTATAATTAAGAAGCTTGTGTTCTGTCAGGAGAGACAATATTTTCATAAAATTATGGGTAAAATGTACAGTATACAAAATAAATACTAGGTTAAAAATTTTAGGGGGGAAGAGGAAGGCACTAGCAGCCAAGGGATCAGGAAAGACTTCCTGTAGAAGGTGGCACTTGAGCTGAGCTTTTAAAGTAACTGGGGATTCTAAAGGATAGGAGTGAGGAGGGTGTGCATTCCAGGCACAGGACATAGCCAGTATAAAGATGCAGAGAAGGGGGATGGAATACTGTGTACAAGGAACAGGAAGAGGCCAATTGTCTGGACCTTGGGATGTGTTAAGGGTAGTAAAAAGGCTGGAAAAGTAGGTCAGAGCAGATTGTAAAGGGCTATAAATGCCAAATAGTGGAGTTTGCATTTGATGTTGGGGGGAATAGAGAACCAATGGGAGTGGGGGAAGAGGAAGGGAGGGGAGGGAAGCAGAGGGGAGAGGGAAAAGGGTAAAGGAAAGGAAAGGGAAGGAGCAAGAGAAGGAGGGAAGATGGGAGGGGGAGAGGGAGAGAGAGAGAGAGAGAGAGAGAGAGAGAGAGAGAGAGAGAGAGAGAGAGAGAGAGAGAGAATAGTGTTACATAAACATAGAGAAGAGAGTGTCCAAGAAAAGACAGTCATCAGTATCAAATGCTGCAGAGAGGTCAAGAAGGATGAAGACTGAGAAAAAGGCATTGGATTTAGCAACCAAGAAACTGTTTTAGAATTCTGGAGATGTCACTTTTCAGTTAAAGGAAGTCAAAAGCCAGATGTAAAGGGCTGAATGGTGAGAAGGGCTTAAAAAGAGAAACATCCCAAAACTTTTTTCTTTAGCTCATTTAAACATAAAAATCCTTTAGTTTATCAAAATAAATATTGGGTAATTTGAAAGTTTAATAATGGCTTATCTTTTTCAATCAACAACAAACCCAAATGCTAAATAGTAGATTTAATATGTGTTTCATATATTTAGATTTAGAAACTATTTAACTATAGAAACTAGTACCCTTACTGAAAGATCTAATTAAGCTACCTGGTCTTTAAATGTGGAATGGTTTTTAAAAGGTTGCATTAAATGTCCCACAGACTCCCAAATTCAACATATCCCAAAATGAGTGCATTATCTCCACCTACCCCTCCAAATTCTTCCTTCTTCCAAACTTCACAACTTTTGTATTAGGCACTCCATCTTTCCAGTCTCCCAGGCTTATAATCTCAGCATTCATAATAACAGCTAACATCTATATAGTACTTACTATGTGTCAGGCACTGGGCTAAGTGCTTTACAATTATTATCTCATTTGATCCTATCAAAAACTCTGATACATAAAGTGCTATTATTATCCCCATTTTACTGATAAAGAAATCAAAGCAGAAAGGTCAAGTGACTTATCAAGGGTCATACAGCCAGTCAGGGTCTGAGCTTGGATTTAAACTCAGGACTTCCTGAGCTGCCCTAACAACTCACTCTCCTTTAGCTCACCTATTCAATCAGTTGTCAAATCTTTCTGTTTCTATATCTAAAATATCTTTTGCATACAACCCCTTCTCTTTACCAGCAAATCCTACCACTTTAGTTCAGGCTTTCGTCACCTCTCACCTGTACTATTGCAATAGCTTCATTCTTGGTCTTTCTCCCTCCAGTCTCTCACCACTCCAGTCCATCCTACATTGCTGACAAAGTAATTTTCTTTAAATACAGTTCTGATCCTGTCACTCTCTTACTTAATCAACTTTATCGATTCCTTATTGACTAAGATTAAATAAGATAAAATATAAATTCTTCTGTTTAACTTTTGAAGCCCTTCCCAATCTGGCTCAACCCTATTTTTCCAGCCTCAGTGGGCATTTCTCCCCCTCCCACATTCTTTTTTTCAGGCAAACTGACACCTTTGTTCCTCACACAGGAGCCTCCATCTCCTGTCTTTAAGCCTCTGCACTAGCATTCCCTGCCTAGAGCACTCAGCCTCCTCCCCTCCCCCCCCCATGGAATCCCTCTCTTCCTGCAAGATGCAGCACAAATATCACCTTCTACATGAAGCCCTTCCTGATTTCCTCCAATTGCTATGCCCTCCCTCCCCATCCACCTAATATTTAACTATTTTGTATTTGTTTGTATTCATTCTGTATATTTTTTCTATGTATTTATTCTCATTCCCATTAGAATGTCACCTACATGTCTGTCTCATTTATTGCATCTGTATTCCTAGCACCTGGCATGTTTTCTGGCACATAGTGGACACCTCATAAATGCTTTTAGATTGACAAAGAAAACTTGTGATCTTGCCCCACTATTTCTTTTTCCTAGTCTTTTTTTTAAGCTTTGTTACCATGGTACCACAAAAGGTTCTCAGGCCAGGTGAACACCAAACAAAAGGGAAGAAAAGGCTGCCAATTATTAGGTGACTGGGGCTATGTAGGCAGTCCCCTGGGGGTAATTAACAATGAACATAATCCATTTTATATGCTGCTGTAGGCATTTTATTTTAGCAGATCAACCAGTTATAAATCCTGAATTAGCCACATTGACTATATATCATTTGAAATAACCTGGTGATTACCAATTCTCCATTTCACTCTGTGCTGTGTAAAAATGGTGAGACCTACTGTCTACAACAGATTCTTGTTGCAAATAGCCTCTCTACTTCTGAGAAATAAGTGATTTCCTTAGTCACATTACCTTGATGTTTCACATTCCAATTTTCCTTTCAGAGTTGGCCTAAAGTATCTTATTAGTACCTCTTATTAGTGAAAACCTGACAAGAATAATTGCAAGGCACAAGGCTGTCTCATATCTGCCTAAATACCCTAAAACCCTGTCAATATTCTCTGAGAATGTCAGCATGGATGAGTAGATAAAAAGGATGATACTGAATTTTACTGCAAATAAAATTAGGTTTCATCAATGTGATTCTGTTCCCTCTCCCCCACATGCATACCTTCTAGGATTCAATGAAAACTAATTCTTTCCTTTTCTGTAGGATGCAAGTGATCAGCTTTCCCCATACAATCTCTGTCAAATTTGCTCTCAACAGAAGCTTTTTAAAATTTACTTTATGTTTCATATAAAATCTCTAGTCTAAAAGACCCTAGCCAGGACCCAAGTACGTCTCAATTTCCATATTTCCTGGAGGGGAAAAATAAATTGTGTCATCTGAAGGAGATTTTAATCCTTTTGTTACAGGGTACCTATTACCTACCTTGCTAATGACCTGATATCAGATGTCTTCTCCTTGGATGTTCTTTGCCAATTCCCCTTGAACCACAGTCTAGAAAAAGCCACAGATCACAGGAGAAGCTTTGGAGCACAGTCATGTCTATTCTCTGCCTCTCCTCTGGCTCATTGCCTGCTTCCTGGTATAGAGACAAGATGACGTTTTGCAGGATTGACTACTAAACCATCCTCCCACCCCCATCCCCACTCTTAGCGCCCCTCCCCTTTTCTTTCCAGGGCTCTGGAATGTGTCACATGGGAAATTGATCATGTGGCTTAGTGGAAGAATCTAACCATCTCCCTACCCCCTTCCTTTCAGCAGCAAAGCAGCAGAAATATCTGAACTAGATTGGTTGGTTCTAGGCAAGAAACTCAGCATGAAAAAGGAAGCATTTACTAGTACCCCAAAAACCCCTATTCCCTTTCTGTTTTCCACCTCAGGTTTTCATCTGGGTTTTCCAAGATTTTCAGGTTAGGAATGAAAATAGCACTTTCTCCCCCTATCATTATTCCATCCTACTCTCTAATCACCATGAAGACTGTATCTGGCCATTGAAGACAATAGTTACTCTGACTTCAGAGCTGGAAAGATGTTCCTTTTTCTTGTCTCAGAACATTCTTACCCCAAGAAGGACAATGTCTTCAGCACCAAGGACAGCATTGTTCCACCTGTGCCAGAGGTGATTAAAGGAATTAGTTGATTTCACCATTTGATGAAATAAAGTATAGTTTTTGTCCTGCATGTAACCACAATTCAGGACATATATTTAGGATTCTGTCTTCCCCTCCCATTAACTGATCGATTATGCAACACAATGTGCTTCATTTCCCTTTGAACCAAGGGTTACTCCTCCCTTCCCCTGCCCCCCAACCAACTCCCATCCACTCCCCCATCCCTCTGCATTATCCTGTTCAAACTTTTAAAATATCCTACCTGGATTATGAGGCAGGGGAGGTTTTATAGGTGATAGGTATGATAATAAATCTAGATTTACACCCATATTCTTATATCCATGTATTTATATATATGTACATATGAACAGATGCGTTCTTGTGCATATTTATGAGTCTTTGTCCTTTTCCCTAGGGCCTCATAGAGAGTAGGATTTACAAAGTAGGAAGGAAGCCTCTAGCTGTGTATTTAGCATCTATCCAGCTCAGCTGATGTCCCAGTTGCCATGGTGTTGTGTAACTGCTGAAGAGGATGATTTCTTTCAATGATGGTCACTGGGGGACCCCAGCAACTGAAGAAAGGCAGAGAGAAAAGGACTGAATGGGTGAAGGGGATTTTCAATTAACATTATTAGAGCCAAATTTACCTAATGGACCCTTTCACTACTGGATTGTTACTGGCCCTATACCCTGAAAAGATTTCAGAATTAATATGGAGACTGCAAACTTAACTCACCCCAACCCCGTCACTTCTAACCTAGAGAGGCTATTTAAAAGACAGCAAGTGGATGAAAGCTCTAGCTATTCGGAGTGAGAAATCTGGACATCTTAAGCTTAGCATTTGATCTGTAAGGACTGAATGATAATAATTTTATTTTCTTCAATAAAAAAATGGCAAATACCCTAAAAATGCTGGCTGTAGAAGGTGCTAGTTTTTTTTTTTAAATGAAGGATTGAATTAAAATTTAAATATAATAAAATTTGAGAAAGGTACTCTTTTAGTGTCATTTGGACTATTTCACTGTCAAAAATCAGGCACAAAGAACAGCCATTCTCTTTAAGGCTGGCACTTGGCTGACCTCTAATCACCTGTAAGATTTATAAGCATATGCATTTGGTGAAAATTGTTGTGAAAATACTAACTTTCAGTTTGTAAAAATTCAGGCCCCAGCTAAAGGTATGCTTTCATGTATTATTTTTAGAAATCACACTTGGCTCAATGTACCATCTTCCAAAAGTAACTTTATTATTTAACAGAAGATTTAAAAAAGCAAAATCCATTCACTAGCACATTCCAAAATATGCAAAAAATGCCATTTTGGCCTATTCTACATTTAAGAAAATCTATTCTTAAAACAGCACATCAGAGGCTATCTTGTCCAATATCTAATCAAATCATGAATCCCAGGTACAACTCAAGACAAAGTTATTATCTAACCTCTGTTTAAAGACATTCAGTGAAAGGGAACTTAAACTCTGTAAACTGATCCAGTCCATTTTGGGTTAGCTGTTAGGAAGTTTTTCCTTGTGTTCAGATAAAATCTGCATCCTTAACATAAATAATTTAGTATACTTTCTCAGTGCCTTTGCAGAATTGGGCATACAGATATGCCTCAATATATGTCATACATACCACAGAGACAACCAATATAGAAATCATGTTTAAAATATATTGTCCTATCCCCTACTTCTAATCCTATGCTCACTTTTGCCTAAATATACCCTATTTTCTTTAGGAAAATGAGCCAGACAGAATGAATAAATCAAATTGTAAAGTTGTTCTTTTATTTACTTTGGGTCTCAGATCCTTTTAAAAATGCTTACAGATCATTATTAGATTGGATTATTTAGGTTATGTCTATATTGAAAACAGTGAAGAGGATATTTGAGTTTTTTGGTGCAGTCTTCAGTAGCAGTCCTAGTGTCGGTGTTTCTTGAGGAAGGGAATTTAAGACCTCTAGAATGGTTCTTTTCACCTTCTCACAACAATAATCTTTCCTGTTACTGATTTAATTTATTTATTTACTATTTATTAACTTCTATGTTCACAAGTTTTTGGAGACAATGCTTTTTTGGATTGTCTGTCTTCTTCCTCACCTGAATTGCCATCTTCCAGTATTATTTATAATACAGTCTGTCTCTTCTCTCCACCCTACTATGTGTGACTATCAAGGGACTGATTCCAGAGCTATAGGAAAAAGTGATAGCTCTGAGAGAACACCTTCCCTTTAACCCATACAACTAGAAAAAAAGTACAATTAGACATGTGTATAAAATGTACCTTTTGTGAAAAGTCAGCATGAGAGGACAATTGGCAATGCTCAATGAGGACAGTCATTGAGTCTAACATAAGCCCCTATCATATCTTTACCCTGTCTAGTGAGCCCTCAGGACACCTTTTTAAAGTACTCAAATGGATTTTTCTAGTTCTGGTACAATTTTACCTGAAACCCACAGAATTTCCTCATCGACTGAACAAGAATGGGATTTCTACTCTCAAAATTATCTAGATATACAACTGTCCATTAGTCGATTTTTGAGGACTTCATGGAGGTACTTAGACCTAGTGAGACCTCAGACAGCTGATAACTGTCTTCAATAGCTATGACAGGGATGTGGATTAGTAGAATAAAAGTTCAGCTATGGCCCTTAGACCAAATCTTCCCTGATGTCTGTTTTTGTAAGGCTTATGAGCTAAGAATGGTTTTTACATTTGTAACAAAGTTTTAATGCATTTAAAAATGTAAAAAGCATTCTTAGCTTACTGAACCTAAAAATAGGTGGCAGCTGGATTTTGGCCCACAGACCAAATCTGGATGAGATTTACACCTCCTTTGAAACTGTAATCTAAGACCTTGGGTGCAGTGCAGCCACTTTGCTGCACTAATTTAGGGAGGTCTTGGTGGACTGAATTCCGGACAGATTCAATAATGCAAATGTAATGGAGGACTGGACAATGAAAGCTCAATCCTCAGAGCGTGTGCAGTATGTTCTGCTCACTGATAATTTGAGTAAAGGCTTGGTTTGGGAGGCTACTCCCAGAAATGTGTGATAACCTGTAGTGGGTATCATACTGCCTTATCCCTGACTCAGGACATAGGTATTCTGTGACTTGCCTGGTAATTAAAAAAAAACCTTTTAATTGATTCCTGAGCTAGAACTATAGATTCATATAAAAGGCTTAAATGGAGGAACTCATTTCCTCACTAGTCTCCTTCCCCTCCCACCCCCTCGGTCCCTGCCCTCAAGGACCTTACATTCAATTTGGGGATGTATCAGAAGTAAGTGTTGAGTATCCAAGTAAGTGTTGAGTAGAAGAAAACTGAGGACAGAGCACTTACAACTATGGAGTAGAAGTAGGAAAGGCTTCATGAAAAGTGGAGGTGATACCTGAATTGAACCTTGTTAGAAGACAAGGATTCTGAGAGGCAGAGATAAGGGGTAAGTGCATTCCAGACATGGGGAACATCTTGGATGAATGCATGGAGGCAGGAGATGTAATAATATTAAGTTCTGGGATCAGCTAGTAGGACAGTTCAGCTGGAACAGAGAGTTTATGAAGGTGAGTGGTATCAAATCTAGCTGGAAAAGCATCTGGGAACAGATCATGGAGGGTATTAAAAGCTAGGCTGTTTGTATATTATACTATAGGAAATGGAAAGCCATTGAAAATTTTTGAGCTGGGGAGAAGCACAGTACAACTTGTGCCAGGTAGATTATTTTGGCAATTGTGTGGAGAATGAATTGCATGGAGGAGAGACTAGAAATGTTTTGAATTAGGAGGCTACTACTATTGTTCAGGAGAGAGGCAGGGAGGGCCTGAACTAAGGTGGTGCTTATGTGATTGTAGAGAAAGGGACAAGATGAAAGATATGTCATGGAGATATATTAGTAAGACAGCAACTAATTTGATATGGGGAATAAAAGAAGAGGATTAAGTCAAGTATTAGTCTGAGATTATGATGAAGCTGGTTAATTGGGAAGATGGTGGTGGTTAGCACAGTGCTTTTTTTGTGGCCTTGAGTTTGAAATTTCTACAAGACATCCCAGGAAGGTAGCTTGTAGGCAGTTGATAATGAGTGACTTTAGATCAGGAACGATATTGGGGATGGATATATAGACTGAGAAGTCATTTGGGTAGAGTATCATCTCTTATGGATGATGGCCTATAGAGTATGATAACCTCATGGAGATGATAAAATATCTGAGAAAGAGAGTATACACAGAGAAAAGAAGAGCACTCAGGACAGAACCCTAGGAAACATTCATGATAAGGAAGAAGGTGATTCAGCAAAAGAGTCTGAGCAGTCAGACAAGTAGAAGAATCAGTACAGAGCTATGTCATGGAGGCCAAGCAGAGAGAGAGTATCTAGGAGAAGGGATGTAAGACTGAAGGCTACTGAGAGGTCAAGGAGGATGAGGATGGAGAAAACGCCTGGATTCAAGCATTTAAGTGATCCCTGGTAATCTTGGAGAGAGTAGTTTTAGTCAAGTGGTAGGAACAGAAACCAGATTATAAAGGACTGAGAAGTGAGTGAATGGTACAGAAAGAAGTGTAGATTATTCTTTTAGGAGTTTGATAGTAAAACATAGGAGAGATATAAAACTATAGTTTTCTTTCTCTCATTTATTTAACAAACATCAATTAAGCACCTAGGACAGTTAGGTGGTACAGCGGATAGAGTGCTTGCCTGAAGTCAGGAAGACTTCTCTTCCTGAATCCAAATCTGACCTCCAACACTCACTAGCAGTGTGACCCTGGGCAAGTCACTTAACTCTGTTTGCCTCAGTTTCCTCATCTGTAAAATGAGCTACAGAAAGAAATGGCAAACCACTCCAGCATCTTTGCCAAGAAAATCCCAAATGGGGTTACAAAAAGTCAGATACAACTCAACAACAACAAACAACAACAACAACAAATTAAGCACCTACTATGTGCCAGGTGCTAGAAAGACAAAAACAAAAATGAAATGATCCTTGTGCCTAGGAGTTTACATTCTACTGGGAAAAAAAACCCATAGGTTCACATGACCAAAGATTTAGAACAAGAAGGGATCTTGGAGACCATCTAGTTCAGACTCCTCATTTTACAGATGAGGAAACTGGCCCATAGAGGTTAAATAACTGGCATGAAGTCACAGATGTAGCAAGCAGCAGATCTGGGATCTGAGCCCATGTTCTCTAAATCAAAGTCCATTGGCCTTTCTCATTCACAAACACTATCTCTGTGTACACAGAAAATTAAATAGAGGAAGTACAATTGAATATCTATTTTGTCTATATTCCTGGGAAGAACACTAGTAACTTCCTACAGGAGAGAGCACTTGAGCTAAACTTTGAAGAAAGTGGATTCTGTGAGGCAAAGAAGAGGGGAGAGTAAGTGCATCCCAGACATGAGAGACAGCTTATACATAGTCACAGAAATGAAAATGGAATATTGTGTATGGGGAACCATAAGTTTGGCTGTGAAGTAGTACGTAGAGTTCAATACCTAATGCCAGTACACTAGATTTACATTTTTACATCAACTTATCAGGCCTTTTTCTATTAATTAGTGTTCATTTCCTTAAGGGTCACCTGAAAATCGTTTAAATATTTTGATACCCCCTACTTCAATTTGCTCAGATCATTTTTTTTCAGATCATTTGCAAATCAATGGGCATCCTTTACTTTTAGAAATGCTTCTTGAACTTCCTGAGAAATTGTTATAAGCTGTTTTGTAGAAATGATTTTTCTTACATTTAAAGTGTCACTTACCATTTTAAAATACTTCTTTATTACTTGTGAATTTTGGGTTCCAAGATCAAGTAAGCTGAAGGAAGGGCTGTTGCAGAGTGAGATCTCCCAGTAGGAGAAGGTGTATGGAAACCTGGTCAAAAGTAGTATGGGGATACTGGAGGAAAGCAAGTTGAAGCCAATGCTGTCTTCTGTGGGGCCATTCCAGGGACTAAATTGCAACACCAGTGATCTCCAGTTAATTGATTGCAGAAGGAAACAGGATGAGATGAATTGGTCAATAAACATTTACCAAGCACTTACTATCATAACTAGGCACTGTGAGCTCACAGTCTAACATGGGAGAAGACATACAAACAAGCTGTGTATAGGATAAAGAGTCACCTAACTGGAGATCCAGTATTCTAGGCTTTGGTCCCTGTTCTGAGAGGCCAGGGTGGAGAGTGAGTTTTAGATCCTTGATTATTGGAGTTCACATTGTTTATGACCCCTTTGTTCAGAGTGCTGGCTCACTTCAGAACTATTTGCAAGAATTAATGTTGGCTTCCCTGGAATGGTTCCTCTCAGCTCATTTATCCTAGCTCACTTGTGTTACACTTCTACCAGCTTCCACATGTTCTCATTGTTGTTTTTTTGTTTTTGTTTTTTGTAATGCAGTTTGGATTAGTACTTCTTCTCTTTGAGTTTCTTTGTAATTGGTCTATCTGGGGTCTTATTCCTATATTATCTGTGGTGTGTGTGGGAGAGCTGGGCTTCAATATAACCTTTTATGTCGAAATCTTAAAATAAAAGTCACCCAAGACTACTTCCTTGTGTTGCTCAGTTGTTTTCATATAGGGAAACAGTCAATGCCCTATAATTCCAATAGATTGATTGAGGAATTTTCTCATTGTTGTTAGGCAGCAATTAGGTAATTCAGTGGAGGGAATGTTGGATCTGGAGTTTGGAAGATCTGAGCTCAAATCCAACCTTAGGCACTTCCCAGCTGTGTGACCCTGTACAATTCATTTAACATTAGTCTGCATAAGTTCTCTGCTCTGTAAAAAGGGGAAAAAATATTACCTCCCTCCCAGGGGAGTGCTATGTAAGTGCTACCTACCTACCTACCTACCTATCTATCTATCTATCTATCTATCTATCTATCTATCATTATTATTAAAGTTGTCAGAAAACTTCATCTGATCAGACTGATAGCACCTCCTTTACACAAATATAAAGTATTATGATAACAACATGAGTATTTGAAGTAATAGACATGGCTTGGAATTATGAATTAGGACTACAGTTAAATTTCATTGTTTTGACCTTCTGCTGCCCTCTTGTGTGTGTTCTACAGTGTGGCAGGTCCTGGTAGGCAGGTCCTGTTTTAGAATGTCTTCTGAGCAGTCTTATTACTAAAGCTTTCCTGTCCTCCAGTGGCCACAAATGGCCTAGCAAATTGTTGTTTCTATTCCATTAGTAAAGTGAAGAACACTTTATTACATGATAATATAAATTTCTAGGTCAGAAAAGTGATTTATGAGTAAAGACAAGACAAACAAACCAACCAACCTTTGGAGGAAAAAAAATAACAACCCAAGCTTCAATCAGCCTGAGCTCCCTCCAACTTCAACAGAACGAACAGAAGTTAGGAGAGGTACAGTTAATTAGGAGAAATGCAAGTAATACCTCCTTAAAGGTTACCTATTATAATGGAAAGAATACTAGATTTGGAATCAGAAGATATGGGTTTGAATCTGGATTCTGTGTCACTTCTGGGTTTCAGTTTCCTAATACACAGAATGAAGAGGCTAGGCTAGATTTTTTTTAACATATCATTCAGTTATCAGTTAATTAAAATCATGTCAATGAAGAGATAGTAACTGGTCTATGTACAAAGTAATATGCAATGTACCAGGGATGTAAAATTTAAAAAATAATCCTTGCCCCCAAGGAGATACATTTTACTTACAATAATAATCCAATGATGCATCAGTAGTCTTTAATATTTACAATTTCAGCAAAACAATCTATCAGGAAGGGGGAAAAAGGCCAAACAAAACAGAATCTATATGTGTGATATGTCCAGAATTTAGACTATAGACTCACACGCATATGAACATATATTTATACTGAGACTGGCAAAGTAGAGAGAGATTGCTGGCCCTACTGTGAGGAAGACCTAGGTTTGAATCCTGCCTAAGATACTGACTGTGTGACTCCTGGCAAGTCAATTAACTTCTCAGTGATCCAGGAAACTCTGAGACTATAAGTTGCAGAGAAGTCACCATTGGCAAAGATTTTCTTCATCAGGGAGTTCTCTATACCAATTATGTCCCAGGACCGGGAGGTTTGTCTGTCTGTCTGTCTGTCTGTCTATCTATCTGTCTATCCATCTCCTGGCTATGAAATAATCTCTGCGTAATCAGCATAGGCAGCCATTTTGGGAATAGAGTGGAAAGGAAAGAGTGGGCAGACTTGCTATTTCACTGGGGTGAAATAATAGATGTAGAGAACAGTTGATCTGTAACAAGTTGCCTGGGGAAGTGAGACCATAAATGATTTGTCAAAGGTGACATAGCCAGTACATGTCACATGCAGGATTTGAACCCAGGTCTTCCTGACTCCAAGGCTGGAGCTCCATCCATCACAATATACTGCTTCTCAAACAACCATAGGTGATAGATAGGAAATAGTAGCTTTGCATTTTAACCTAACTTTGTACAGATGAAAATCTGAAAGAATTGGAGAAGGGACTTTGGGGAGAGCTTCCTTTCTATGACTTTTTATGTACAAAGAAGATAATGAAGTTGAATAAATGTGAATTGATGGACATCATTTGTATCTTGTTTCTGAATTTCAGGCATGCAAGTTATCCCAATATGTTATGAATATTAAGTCAATATTTGCAGTGATTATTGCTAATACTGAAGGCTTAGTTTTTCCTGTTTATTTCCTTTTCTCAAAATACATGTATTCTTGGCAATCTTTACTTCCTACATTTTACTTAGACATTAGGATTCTTTGCCTGAAGTAAGTTAACCAAAGTTAGCTTTATTTATTAAATACCTCCCACTTGTCAAATATAGTACTAAATGTTTTGAGAGAAATAAAATCTAGATAAGTCTTCAGCTCTCCTCATGGAGCTTATAGTCTAATAGGGAATAGGACATAAACATGGATAACTATAATATACAATATTACATGATGAATGCATTTGAGAGAGGATATAAATGAAGTTCATGGGTAGAAAGTTGGTACCAACAAGGAAAATCAGGGAAAGTTTCATGGAAGAGGTGAGATGGCACTTGAATTGGGGAGAAATTTACAAGCAAAGAGGAGGAAGGAGGATATGACAAGGTATAGAGAATAATGTGAGCAAACAGGGTGGGATTGTTCTTTGTCCTTTGTTCTTAAAGAGGACCAATGACATCAGGAGAGTGATGTCTTGACTTGAAGATGAATTGGATTTAAATGAGGCAGGATTGTGCAAAGTCATTAGCTTCATGCTCTCCTCCAGAGTCATCTGAGACCAGTGGCAAGACATAGGTCAGAACAACTGGAGATGGCCTCAAATGAAGTGGGTGACCTTGGCTTTTAAGCTAAGGTCTTTCCCAAGTCTCAGTTTGTCTGAGGCAACACTATACACACTACACACACGCACACACTGTGTGTACACATATATATGTGTGTCTGTATATATGCATTATATACATATACATACATACATACATATATATATATATATATATATATATATATATAGAGAGAGAGAGAGAGAGAGAGAGAGAGAGAGAGAGAGGTACAGAGAGAGAGAGAGACAGAGAGAGAGAGAGAGACAGAGAGAGAGAGAAGGGTGAGCAAAAGGGGTGGAGTGGGAAGTAGCAAAAGGAGAAGAGGGAAAGAAAAGGAAGAGAGTAAAGAAGGTTAGGAAAGGTAGAAAGGAAGAGAGGGAAGGAATTCTAGGATATAAGTGACAAATTAATGCAGCAGATCACAGGGAACTTCTGGCCACGATGGCTACCTGAAGGGAAGGCAGATCACTTGGCTCCCACATATCTAAACTAGCAACACCCTGAAGTTTGTGCCAGACCTAATAATGATTGAGAAATCCAATGAGAAACCACAGTATGTGATTTCTACCCTAGAGCAGCACAAGAGATCAGCCGGATCCCTGTGTACAATAGGAAAAGGTGCCTGCCAGTACCAGCAAAGGGTAGCCTTGCAGCACCAATCAGAGACTGCCAGAGATATGTGTAGCCTGCAAGGGTCTGTGAACTGAGGCAGCAGTCGCTGAGGGCTCCTCCAAGAAAGCCCCAGTGATGTACTATGGAGCAGCAGTGAGCAGTAGCAGCAACCAGCACACAGCAAGGTAGTGTGCAGATTGGGATAGCACTTTGTCCTGACGTGCCAGAGGGCCTTGAAGTTTCAGCACTCTAAATATTAAAGATCAAGGAGGGGGTAACCCTAGGAGGTAAAGGTCAGCTCAAGAAGCCAGGTGACTATCACGTCCAAAGCACAGGACAGGGCAGAGCCTGACTGTGTTACAGAGTCCCAGCTCAGGAACTAAAGCTTGAAAGAAGTGTAAATCAAAGAAAACACTGACCAGTATGAAAAATTGTTGTCAATCTAGAGATCCCCCAAAAGAAAGAGTAAACTGTTAACAGCTGCAAGCAGAGATTTGAAGGAAAAAATGAACTTTCCTCCAGAACTACACAAATACCTAAAGAAATGAAGCAAGAGATTAAAAAATTAAAGCAGCAGAGGAAAGAATTAGAAAGAGAATAGATATGGGGTAGCCAGGTGGTGCAGCGGATAGAACACTGGCCCTAGAGTCAGGAGGACCTGAATTCAATTTGACTCAGACACTTATTATCTGTGTGACTCTGGGCAAGTCATTCAACCCCAATTACCCTGCCCCCCAAAAAGAAAGAGAATAAATAGCTTAGAAGAGAATATGGCAAATATTATCCAGCAAATGGATTCCCTGAAAACTAGATCGAACAGAAATCAATGACTCTGTGAGACTAAAAATATTAAAATATTACAAAAAATAAGAAAATGTAAGATATTTTATCTTTTAAAAATTCTCTTGGAAAATTAAGTCAAGGAGGAAAAATGTAAGAACCAATGTACTCCCTGAAAACTAGCAGTGGTGCCAAAAAAAGAGAGTCATTGAAACATTTTTGTAAATACACAGAAGAGGATAGAAGGAAGGAAGCAGACAAGCAGAAGTCTGAAAGTAATGTATTG